GTCCACCAAACAAACGCCCACTATACTAAACGCCAACTAATGATTCCTGGGACACTTCATTTGACGTTTCATTTCATCATTTAAAGCAAATTTTCTATCTTTTGGTAGGTCAATGATCTTATAGTTTTATTATTCTAAACGGTGTATAATGAAAAATGCTTTTTGAAATTTTCTCGAATAATATTTTAGAAAATTTCAAAAAACATTTATCATTAATTTTTGGATTACATAAAAGTAATAATGTTTACGAATTAATTCATTGCCTATTATTAAAAATCATACCTTAAGAATATCGAAAACTTTTCGAAATCGATGTACCTCATCTCTAGCCAATGCAGTATGAAGTAACCTTTGCCCGTTATCGTATAAAATTAATAGCCGCGTAGTGACTATTTGCCGCTGTCCGGCTACAACACCAACGTAGCGAGGCTGCCACGCGAGGAAAAGCCTTTGGTGGTGGTTCAGTGCGCGACACGGCTATTAATTTTTTTTTTTAAATAGCTTTCCCCGCTCACTTCTCACAAACAAACATTGATTTAGTGTTATTTTTGCTTTAATTTAATGTATTTTACTTAAACGAAGGCTATTCATTTTTATTTTTTTTTTATAAATAACGCACACACTCAACATAGCCTAGACACTAGGGAAACCCTGTGTTGCGGGTGCCATGGACATACACATAGACAACCACAACTTACACCCAAACTCACGAGATAAATAATTGTAGGCCATACAACTATTTCTCCCGGCCCGGGAATCGACCCTGGGACCTCTGCGTGGCAGTCCGGCATGGTAACCGTTCGGCCACGGAGGCAGTTGATTTAAAAACGAGGCTTATAAAAACAGTTTATGAGTTTATTTTAGTAACAGTAGAGTTCTCGTGAAAGAATTCGTCCAGGGAAGTACTGTCACCTTACCTATTTCTGCGTCCAAGCAGGTCAGCATTACCATGTTTTGAAGGGTAAAGGTGCTGGGGAAATTACAGCCACATGTAACTTGTCAACTTATGTCTGAAGGTGACGGGCGCAGGGGCAGTGCCCCTGAAACCTTTGCGATTTAAAGCTCCAGGCGCAAGAGTCCAGCCACTTAGTATCATAAAAAATAGTTTTAAAAATTACCTCCTAACCTTTTCTTAACTGGTCGAGTGATTGACTTAATATTATCAATGCGTGCCATCACAATATTTTTTCCAAAAGACGTAACTTTTTCGTATTAAATTGTTAACTTTTACTCGATTGTGCGTACTTAGGGTCGTATTCCAGAACTCTACTCAATGCTCAAGTCAGGACTTGAGTATTGCAGTGAACACTGAAAATCATACTCAAGTCCTTGCCATTAGAGTCGTATTTCCAGTGCTTGAAATCATACTCAAGTCTGCTCAAATCCTGACTTGAGCATTGAGTAGAGTTCTAGAATACGACCCTAAGTCTATTTTTTAACCATCACCAGCTATGGCAGATATCAGAAAAGTCTACGTACTCCATAGTACCCTTAGAAGAGATCCATGCCCAGCAGTAGTATTATATCGAGTTGTACATGATTAGGTACTTACGTGTATATTAACTAAAAATAACGGATAACTAACGTATTAGAGTCGAATTTTTGCTCGACATGTTTCAAACCAATTCGTGGTCCTTTATCATGAGATTCGCGCCGTTGCCGTGACCGCGGCGGTGCCTTGACGGAAACTCGAGCAAAAGTCAAAGCCCTGGCAGCCCGAGCACTCAGTACGGCTGTGGGCGCAGGCGGCATCGGCGAGAATCTACCCTCGTTTGCTTCATTCGACTTAAATACGTGAGTTATCCGTTATTTTTAGTTAATATGTCTGAGTCTCACGGTGGTTTTCTATTTAAAACTTAGGTGTATATTTTGAAGTTTAAGGCTTGCCTAGTGTGGGGACAAATACATTTTATGTTATTCTTAATTTTTATTTGTTTTATTTTGTGAATGTGGTAATTTAATCTTAATGCGCTCCGAGAACATCGTCGTGTATACATTTTTAAAATCTTATCTCATGATTGGGAAATCTGCGAATCAGCGTTCGAATGATCGAGAAAATCAATGTTTAAATGAGAATCTGTTTTGAATAAATAATAATGAGTTAGACAATTGAACCTGTCAATGGAATTTTCTTTCTCTGACTGCCTAATGGATTGTACAGTTCCGTGAAAATGATCTCAGAGTTGTGTTCATATATATGTCAACCTTATGTCAATGATATGAAAACTCACTTTTAATTGATAACAAACGAATTTAAGCTTTAATCTTTAAGTACATGTTAAATTAACTAATATGACGTTGATTTTATTCTATTTAGGTGCAAATTTATATACAAAAATTTCTAATATCTTTTAAATTAAAAGAACACATGGAACGTCATTCTTTTGTTGGAAGGTGTGAGAGCTGATAGAACTATACGCACATGGGGCTTGTCCGCTTTGTGTCCAAGGGTGACAGGCCCAGTGGGAATGATCCTCAAATCTTTACCAGCCACCAGGTGTCCGACTTATTTCTCCCATCACATGCTATCATAATAATTTTACTTTTTTATAAAAAAAAGTCATTCAAAAGTTCGTTCGTAGAATTACATATCGCACTTGGCAACTAACATAGTGTTATCTCAAAATAGCTTTAAGTTATATTAATATTATCTATTTAGTTTTAACCGCTCACGCGATACATGCAGCCGTAGACGCATACCACACCTAGAGGTGCCGGTGATGATTTTATACCGATTTATCGGATATCGAAGTTATAACAGGTAAAAGAACTAATATTAATTGATATTTCGGTAACTACTCTAGCAAACCATAAAGTTTTCAATGCCTGGGTCTGTCATTTAAAAAAATAAACAACTTCAAAAATACGTCACGACAATCGTGTGTGTTACTGTTTGGGCTGGTGATTTGTGCTTTTTAAGTGCAGGATTTGCGGTGTATTGCTGCATTTTATTTGAGATGTTTTTGTTTCTAGTACGGAGGGTATTTATTTAGCAATGCAGAGTAATAATTTTTATTTATAAAAACTTGTATTTAAACTGAATGCTTTTCTAATTAGCAAAACCAAATAGCCGCCATTTTGCGGTATAAGGAGCACATCGCGTGAGCGGCTAAAGCGACAGTTTTGTCCTGTTACTTTGAAATTAAATCGTATATGAATAACATATAAATATAGCGAAATTTTGGAGATAAATTATTAATGTTACGTAATTTTGAGATAAAATACAACATAACACAATTTTTGAGATAAGTCTATGTTAGTTATCAAGTGCGATATAATTTGACAGGTTTTATTAAAATCGGTTACCGGATTCATCCCCTAGTTTGCCACCCATAGAGGTGGAACATTTTCTTCAAATTTAAATAGGAACCCTCTTTCCAACAAAAAAGAATCATTAAAATCGGTCCACAAATGTCGGAGTTATCACGTAATATATATACAAAAAATACAATGAAATTGAAAACGGGTGTGTAATGGAAGATATAACAACAAATAAGCTATTTTCACTTGGTATAATAACATTTGATATAATCACTCGCTGTATGTAATCAACAAAAGGCATAATTGTAATGTGTATAATGAACCTCCAGTATAACAAACATTAGGTATAATGATTAAGTGACATAATGAACAAATGGTATAAGTACCAGTATAATGTATTAAATAATATAACACAATATTTCATATACTAACCTAACCTAAACCTACAGGAGAAGGTCGAACCAACTAGCAAATGCAAACAAATTCGATTCTGACAGCTTTGTCATATACTAATCTAATCTAAACCCACAGAAGGAGGTCGAAGCAACTAGCAAATGCAAACAAATTCGATTCTGGCAACTTTGTCATATACTAACCTAAACTAAACCCACAGGAGGAGGTCGAACCAACTAGCAAATGCAAACAAATTCGATTCTGGCTTCGACTAAAAATATGTCATTTGTTGTTATATATTACGAATCGCACCCATTGAGAACCTCCTCCTTTTTTTTGAAGTCGATTAAAAACAACAAATCGAAGGTTTCTCAGTGGTATTACGTGTTGATTTGTCAGTTTGCAATAAATATCCTCATAGCATTTCTTTGAAATAAACTGCCTCCGTGAATGGTCACTATCCGCTCACGCGATGCGCTCCTCCTACCGCAAAATGGCGGCTATTTGGTTTCGCAATTTAGAAAAGCATTCAGTTTAAATACAAGTTTTTATAAATAAAAATTATTATTCTGCATTGCTAAATAAATACCCTCCGTACTACCAACAAAAACATCTCAAATAAATGCAGTAATACACCGCAAATCCTGCACTTAAAAAGCACTAATGAAATATTTGGTGTACTTGGTTAAATATGATAATATTCCGTATGAGTGGTTCTAACGTTTACCATGAAATTACTCCTTAAAGTATAGTTTATAAACATTTATATTCAGGGTAAACTTAAAAAATGCTACTTACGGTATGTTTTCAATAAATAAACACCGAAATCACTAGCCCAAACAATAACACACACGATTGTCGTGACGTATTTTTGAAGTTGTTTATTTTTTTAAATGACAGACCCAGGTATTAAAAACTTTATAGTTTGCTAGAGTAGTTACCGAAATAGCAATTAATATTAGTTCTTTTACCTGTTATAACTTCGATATCCGATAAATCGGTATAAAATCATCACCGGCACCTCTAGGTGTGGTACGCGTCTACGGCTGCATATATCGCGTGAGCGGCTAACCTGGACTGCCACGCAGAGGTCCTGGGTTCAATTCCCAGGCCTGAAGAAATATAGGCCTACATTTACTTCTCTCGTGATTGTGGGTGTAATTTGTGGTTGGCTATGTGTGTGTCCATGGTATCAAAATAATTGTTCGAATAAACGGATTACGAGTGCGACATATCTTTGTATGAGATTGGATATCTGTACCAGTATTGTAGTTTTATATTATCGGTGGTGTTATAACAAAGCCAAGACTTACTTAAGTCACTAAATCATTCCTTTCTTGTTGCAGGGGTAACCAGTCTTCGTGACGTCAGACTCCTGGTAGAACCAACAACAATAATAAGAGGAGGCACTGCAGCGCTAATCTGTTCACGGGATATGCAAAACGCCCCTCTGTATACCGTCAAGTGGTACAGAGGAAATCACGAGTTTTACAGATACACGCCTATGGAAGATCCTGATACGAGGGTGTTCACAATACCGGGAATTTATGTTGACGTAAGTATCGATTAAGTATTTTATACCCTTGGTAGAATTCTTTCTCACGTTTCTCACTGAAAAATCTAAGTTATGACAAATTGACTTGCAGACACCCTATATTGAAATACAGCCCACTTGCATGGTAACTGATATTATCTTCAATGCCAAAAGTAACATTCATATTCGCCACAAAGTAACCTATAGCAGCCTATAGTATACGAGGACATTTACGCAAATGCCGAGCCACTTAGCCATTTTTACTGTCATATAAATATGAAACTTTTTCCCTTAGGACTATTGTCATGTTTGGAGATGTTTTCTTTGTAATAAATAGACGGTTTATTATTGTTAAAAATATGACAGCGAGATATTTTATTAAGGTCGATAAGTTTTGTGGAATAAAACGCATTAGCATTAAAGAACAGACGATTGTTTCCGGTGGGCATGGGTCTCCCCTTAGGTGAGCGTTTTAGGCTTTAGTCCACCATGCTGCCCGGTGCGGGTTGTGGACTTTGCACGTTTTCCAAGGGTGTCCGGTTAAATAAATAATAATGTGGCAGACAACAGCACTAGAATTCCTGCACTTTGAGAGCATCGAGTAACATAATTCACTCCGAAGCCCTACTTTGAACAATCGAACTTAAACCAATTTAGAAAAGTTCAATTTTAATTTTATCCCGTGTTTATTCCGGGACTCTGTTAATCAATCAATCCCAATGGCTTCTTTTAAATAAGTTCAGCTCAATGAAACGTAGTGAACAGTAGTAATAAATAAATAAAATAAATAACGCACACATTCATAACACTGGGAAACCCTGTATCGCGGGTGCCATGGACACACACATAGACAACCATACATTACACCAAACTCACGAGAGAATAAATGTAGGCCACACAAATATTTCTCTCATCGCAGGAATCGAACCCGAGACCTTTGCGTGGCAGACCAGCGCATGGTAACAGTTCGGCCACGGAGGCAGTTTATACAGTGTTCAAATATCGACTATAATCACTTAATTGTCAAATAGTGAATTATCGAAATGTAGAGAATAATATTTCAACATAATCTCAGTACAGTGTACTAAAAAAAACAAATCTCAAAAGAACGTGGAATTACGTCTATTTGCTAAGTTTTATTGGAATATGCCCTAATATAGTTCGCCACTATATGGGACTTGACACAGGAGATAATAAAAATCGGTTCTCACTACACAAAGTATATTGAGAGAGAAAAACGCCTTGAATTGGAGAATAGCAAAGCCAACTATTAAAATAATTGCTCCTTAAGTAAAATTTAGGCGCTATTATTAAAAATTAATGTTCTTGCGTGACCAGCCACCTTTAGAGGTGGATGATTTTCTTTAAAATAAAATGGGACCACTATGGAGGTACCCTCTTTCCAACAAAAAAAGAATCATGAAAATTGGTTCACAAATACCGGAGTTATCGCGTAACATACATACAAAAAAAAACATACAATCGAACTGAGATCCTCCTTCTTTTTTTGAAGTTGGTTAAAAAATAGAAGAAAATAAACATAAAATTATATAACATAAGAAATTATGCTCTTCCCTAAAAGTCCACTAGTTGGCATTGACCCATTTTATCTAGATTCTGCACTGCAGTGTCAAGGTTTGCTTCCAATTGGTGAATATCTCAACCGACTTTCAATAATGTGAGATAAACGGCGGTATTCCTGAAGTCATGGTAGGAACGATTGTAAGGACATATCTGTACATATACTGTAAAGTAACAACCTACATGACGTTTGACTGAATTTGGTGACGCCAAAGAACCCCTTACGTCAAAAATTAAAATTTTCATTAATAATGATGTAAAGGGGATACAGTGAGAGAGATATTACGATTAACTTCCGTGTAGAAATAGGCGAATTTGCAATAGATCGTTGTGTAGAATAAGTTCGAAACAAATTTTTCGAAAAAATTAGTTTAATTCTTGACCGTAATAATCAGAAACAAAATTAAAATGGGCCAATAATCACCTAATCATCATATTAATAATATATTTTAAATTAATATTTGAACTTTGCAAATATTTTTTTCGGATCTGAATCACAAAACAGTTAAGAAAAGTCAGCCGGGACCATTGATCTACCAACATATAGCATTTATAAAAAGTCCGCAACGTTGGTTTGTTTGACAAAAAAAAAACAAAAAATTTAGATTCAATCGTGAAACCCTAAAAACTCGATACGGATTTAAGAAACATGTGTCCTTAATTCAAACTTTGAACTGACATTTTTAATAAGATAAATAGGATCAGACACTGGCGAATTTCTGAATGTATAATATTTATTGATACGTCTGTGAACGAGACTCGTCAACGATACTCATTACGTTTTATTTTGGTACAATGTATTATCATTAGTGAATTGTTCTGTTCGAAATCAATGTGGGGATACCATACCTCTCCAAAAACTTTCAAATAAATAAAATACAAAACTTTCGCAATCCCGAAAGCTACAATTTGGGCCTATTCAAGACTGGATTGAATAGGCATTTACTAGACAAAAACGCGTAAAATCGTCGGCCACATCGTAGCTTGGCAAAAGGTGACATTGGGAACAAGCGTTCGTCTGTTTAAAAAAAATACAGATCTAACTTTTTACGGAATTCTTCTTCTTGGTGTGCCACCTCCAAACAAACGTCGACCATCATAATAGTCCTTGGATTCGTTCTGTGGTACTCACGTTGAAAATGTGGCCCATTTGTAAGTGTTCTGTGGCCCTGGATTTTTTCTTGTAGAGTGAGTTGCAGTAGAATAATGTGCCCGAAGTAGTACAGTAGTACAGATGGTATTCGTAATTTTGGTATTTAAAGAATATGCTTTGATATCCACTAATCATGGCTACATAGGGAATAAGCTTTCAAAAATGAGATTGGTTTTACCTTTCGCGAACTCATTTCAAAGTAAGACCTTTTTGGAAGCGCTTTGAAGGCTTTGTTTAAATCCTTTTGTGTGAGAGGAGTTATGGCGATCGTTGTTATTAATGTGTTTTAAGAATTCCCGCTAACGTCAATTCCAGTTTTAACTTTTATCAAACTGGATTTCCCAGAACAGATCTCGGTGCTGTTACTTATCATTTATTATACCGAATGCACTATACAAGCAACTCACGTTGTGAACAATGTTATCAAGCTTATTTGCATAAAAATTTATGATAAAACCAATTTTTATTTTAAATTACTTTGTACTTATTCTTTCTGCACCCTTTATTCTCACCAAATTTCGCTTAAACTTTATATCTACTCACTATACCAATATGTAATTTAATTTGCAAGGGATGAATTACAAGGTCACCAAAAAGATACTTTCTACTCTATGAATATAAAACAGCTCTTCTGGGATAAATTGTTTTCTTGTAAAATTACACAGTTTTTCCGTAGGAACAGGTTTATAGACATTTTGGTTGTGTTGTACACTTTGGGACTAATAAATTATGTTTTCAGAGGTTTTATGTGAATATTTATAATTGAGAACAGCCAATCACATCAGGATGTTGAGTCTGCAGAAAAGCCAATGATTACCAAAATTAATTTATTTTTCAAATGTCAATGACAGTTTTTGGACGTTGGGAACAATTATTATTAAAAATACCTCAGTATGTGGATAATAATTATGTTCGTCGACTTAACATGTCTTCTAGAAAGAAAGCTTGTTTTTATTATGATATCAAGTGGCGGGACGAACAAGTCGTGTGTTTGGTCCATAACAGTTACAGTGCCAATCAAAGATTTAAATTACGAAGATCAGAGGTGCAGTGACACTGCGCCTGTCACCCTGAAACATAAAATTGACAAGTCCCATGTGCTTGTAATTACATCAGCACACAAAATCAGGAAGCTGTAATTGACGCTAAGGCAAAAATGGATATGGTTGTAGAAGTTATCTGGACGAACTCGTTCACAAGGAGCTGCTACAAAATGCTAATTATTAGCACTGCGTATTCTATCTAGTTGCTTTACCCAGCGCAAATATCGAAAGAAAATTCTTTTCAAATTACATTCTTGCATCTCCACGGACATTGCTATGCAGTGGTTCAAAAACCACAGTATCTACAATGGCCACTACTGCACTTGGAAATACTCCTATTAAACTGGTATTTCAAAAGGGCGCAAAGAAAAGCTTCTCTGTCTCTTAGGTTTATTATCTTAGTCGTTTTACGACTGTTGGGAAGATATGGATCATTCTGAATTTAATTTCGGTTCTGCTCATTTTTATGTGCATAATTTAAAAAGCCACATAAAATTTATCTTCCACAAGATAGATGAAATACCAAATCCTCCTCCTCAAATCGTCTACATTCCATGCGTTAAAAAAAAGCAACAAAATTGGCAAACGCTATTCCGATTTTACCGAAAAGAGGAAAATGGCATTGCTCCATAAATGCGTTCATTGAATATTGTCTGGAATTTCACCGGAATATGTGCTAAGAGCGAGAACCAATCGATATTTGTGGATTGCCGACCCTGATTCGCATTTTCAGCTTTAACGTTAACCATATAAAATCATTATTCCACTAATACTAGACGGACGTCTTCAGAACTGTGAAAGGCAATCTATTCAATTTAATCTAAGTGAAAATGAAAGGATTAATGAACTTTTGACGCCCTTGTAATATTTGAAAGTTGATTCTTTTTTCAGTATATAGGTTGTTATGTTTAGATGGATAACGTTCAGTGTAGGAAAAATACAGAAATAAGTAGGTAGTGCAGATTAGCAATACCAAAAATAATTCATCTATACCATTGGCAGATAGGCGGTGTTGTATTTATTTCTTCCTAAGTCAGTGGAAATATTATTTTCGAAAATAAGCAGTCGCCTCTTGTTGTGCCTTGTTGTGCTTTTGCGGGGGAATTTGCTATCCATATATATAGACATATAAATACCGTCATGCCTGTCCCTCACTTTAACCTCCTCCTTTCGCACCAGTCTCGTCAAACCATTCCGTTTACTCTTGGTACTTTTAACCGGGTCTTTTGCAATGAAATTCCCAATGTGATGAACGTATTAGATACATCGTGGTCTACCTTTCCCTATGTATCTATCTACATTCGTTTTGGGCCGTCAATCTACCTACACATCTCTCCTTTCTACACAACCAAACTATCGAAGCATTCCTTCTTCTAGTGCTATATTATTACACTGTATATTATTTCGGAATTAAAAGCGGTAACTATGTATTTACTTTTCTAAATGGGAATAAACGCCATTAAACAATGTAATCTTTCGGCCAGGTTGCATCGAGCGTGATCATGAGCTGACTGGTGATGCGATGTTACATCTCGGCGGTATAATCATCATCCACCCCCGCTATATTTCTCAAAATACCACCATAATATCCCTGTTCCGCACCGAAGCCATACTCTGGTAATCAGTCGATCGCAAGAAACGATATTGAGTTTTGGCAAACACCGGCTTCCATGCTGCAAAATAACTTAAAACTATCCTCCCGACTGAAATTATTTGGATGTTTTTAGTTTTTACATCTCAATCGCGTCATACACAACTCTTGAGTAAAAGTGGGTTGAGTAAAAGTTTGTTTGATGTTTCAGACTAACCGTTCCAACGGCTCGCAAGTCCTCCTAAGACGCATGGACCTAACAATGGCGGGCAACTTCAGCTGCGAAGTGACAGCCGATTCCCCGTCTTTTGCCACGCAGATTGCTACAAAATTCATCGACGTTATTGGTAAGAATACCATTCAAAACTTCCTTTTTGAAAACAGTCATATTATGTAATATACATTATAGTATACGTATCCGTTTCTTGGGCTCGCTAGATTTTAGTGTATACCTACGATATCGAGCACTGGAGAGTCATAAGATTTAACGGAGAAATATCAATATGGCGGCCGCTGGGTGGCGTTTGATCTAACAATATCGTTTTCACTTTTCAGTTTTTTCGTACAGTTGTGTTAGTGTTCTTTATAATAATGAATTCGAAAGATTGAATTTGAGTGATTCTATTTATTTTTTCTGTATAAACTTCTTTTTGAAGAAAACCATGGCAGCCTAATGGTTTGACCTACCGCTTCACAAGCAGAGGCCGTGGGTTCGATCCGGCCTCGCACCGTTGAGTTTCTCGGAATTTATGTGCGAAATTTAGCCTTTTGGTGAATAAAAACATCCTGATGAGACCTGCACGTCGAAGAAGATTCACAGCTCTTGGAAAACGGTCCTAAACCGGCATTAGGCCGGCATGGTGAACTATGACCCAAAACACTTGCCTGAGAGAGGAGGGATGTATAAATTGGTTGATGACCAAATGCAGAAAGTTGTCAGATAGTACAACAAAAACTTAAACTTTATTTTTTGGTAAATTTAATGTTTTGTAAAAACTCATGGTGCTAAAATTGTTGTTTATGATGTTGTGGATTATAGTGCTGCGAGGTTGTTAGTAAGTATAATATTATGTTATATGTGGTATTGTACAAATGATCTTGTATAATCTGCGGAGATTAAAAACGATTCTGTATACAATGATCCGAATATAAAAAATGGGACCATGTTATTCATTTAACGAAATTAGATTTTTTTGTATCTTATCAAATCAAACGTAGTATTATAAAATTGGAATAAACTCTAAAAAAAAACGACGAAAAAGTTTTTTTAACGTTGTCTCCAATAGCTACTCGAGTATTCGTAACAAATTTATCGCCCGCCAGAGCTTTATTGAAATTAAAACACTGCTTACTCTATAGGTTGGATGTTCTACTAAAGTAAATGCTCGACGAAAATCTATTATGGCGACAGTACCTCAAAATTGACTTTCAACCAACCATCAAAGTCAACAGTACGTTTAAACACTTTTCAAGTCCAGTGTTATTCTAATAATATTATAAATTTATTTTATAAAACCATAGTGATGACTTTAAATTATTCAATTTATTCATTAGCTTTGTGGTACGTATAATAACATTTTATATATAAAAATCGAATACTTAGAAAAACTCCCTTCGATCCGGCTGGATTCGAACCAACGTCTTCCAGCAAACCGTGGCAGACGCTAACGAACGAACAAACGAATTAGCGAAACTTACGATTTTTTCTATATACTTGTTGCAGATCTTATCTTGTTTTTGGTTTTTAACGACATTTTTGCCATAGCGCCATCTGTGACAAATCTATTTCGGCACTCAGCCGAATACCTTTTCCTAAGTGTTCGATCTATATCTTAGTAATTATAACAAACTAGTGGAGTAATTTCACAAAAATAATTGAATATCATGGTGGTTACACATCGTGACATTTCAATAAAAGTAAAAAATTATATTTTTTATTCTATAAACATAACGTAATAAGATAAGTACAGTAAAGAAAGAAAGACGCGTGAGACAACCAGCGCTAGGCAACGCGAGTGCATCGCGATATTATGCAATAAATGTGTGCGGCGGGCGCACACACATACAAACCACGCTGCTAGGTTTGTATGGAGTTACCACACTTTGTCTTTATAATTTCCATACAGGAAAGACGAAATGGCTCTGGATTCCACAAAAATTTAATTCAAATACCATAGCGTTTAATTACATTTGAAAAGAGCAATCCCTAGAGTTTCTTGCTGGTTCTTCTCTGAGAAGTCCGTACAATGAACGAGCTTAAAAAGAACATTTTCAAGTAAAAATTCATTTTACCTATGGAATAAATAATGATTACATATTTTTGACGTCAGTATACTATATTTTGACTGTACAGATAAGGAAGTGAAACTATTTTTCCAGATTTAAATAGTGTATATTTGGTTTTTCAAACAAACCAACGTTTCGGGGCCTTTACAGGTCCCATGGTCACGGTTGACTGAGGTTGTAAAGTCATCAACCAGTTATGTCTAAAATTTATTTTGCATCTTATTTTTCACAATAGTTATAAAAGTTATTAATTAAATACCTTATTTTTAAATTTTACAATAATAACAATATAGTAATTTCATTTCATATATGTAACAATCGCGAAAACCTAAGAACTCAATCTATACAGATAACTTTTTATCCCGGTCTTAAACTAGGGAATTCCCTGTACCAGAGCATTGAAGTTCACTCCGGGGCATTACTCAGAACTCTCACATCTGGGGGTCGATTCAGAACCTTACGATATCTCAATCTCATATTCGAAACCGAACCGAAATGACGTCACACCCGTACGAGTACTCGTACTTCTCGACCTAGGCTACAAACGTTATTCAGTACACAGTTACCGAACAAAAGTTACCGAATGTACTATTCTTTACAAAGCAATAATGTAATCTCCTATTATTTTCATAAAGTCTCGATTTTGTTCAATTTTATTAATTTATATTAATGCAATAGAAATACATTCGAGAACGATATTCAATAGAACGTTTCGGTTAAAATATCGAAGAGTTCTGAATCGGGCTGCAGAATCAATTTAGAAAAATTCCTTTCTAAAATGGACCTTACTGGGAATCGGAACCGGTGCCTCCTCATCTAGCGCTGATGGTGAAAACTGTTGTGTCACTGAATAATATTTATATTCCAAGTTATGCGTCTGCTTACCAAAATAGGTACAGAAAACATAAGTTTTTATATCTTACGCACGCAATACATTTGCGATATTAAAATACTTCCTTCCTTGAGATCGCAAACATATTTACCGTACCCACTTTCCATCAGGTAAACAATTCAAATCAGCAAACAGTCTGATTGTTTGCTGCTTCCAACACCGTAACAGGATATGTATTATACAACACCGCTTACAGTAACAATGAGAGAATTCGTATGATAACGTCCGTCTGTTCTGACGCAAATAACCTAAAAAATACACTGAACTAGGATGCTAGTCAGCCATTGTACGATAGGGAATCGGACAACTTTCAGAAAGTTTATAAAATTAACTATAAGAGACAATAACAGTTAAGAAAAATATTATTTTGTTTAATATTCATTTTATTTAATATATAATAATTCCGGTTTTTGAAGGGCAAGGGTGCTGGTGAAATTATAGGCACATCAACTTAGGTCTCAGGGCAGTGTTACCAGCAGACACACAACTTGCTCGTTCCGTCACTTGATATTATAATAATCTCAGTACAGAGTACTAAAAAAAACCGACCTCAAAAGTACGTGGAATTGCTTCTATTTGCTAAGTTTTATTGAAATATCCCCTAGTTCGCCACTATACAGGACTTGACACTGGAGATAATAAAAATCGGTTCTCACTACTCAAAGTATATCGAGAGAAAAACGCCTTGAATTGGAGAAATAGCAAAATTAGTCACTAAAATAATTGCTCCTAAATTAAAGTTAGGCGCTATTTATAAAAAATGAATCGTGGAAGAAATTCAAAAACCACCCTTCGAGGTGGGTGATTTTCTTCAAAATGAAATGGGACCGCTAAGGAAGTACCCCCTTTCCAACAAAAAAAGAATCATGAAAATCGGTTCACAAATACTCGCATTGAGAACCTCCTCCTTTTTTGAAGTCGGTTAAAAATTAGATAAAAGCGGGCAGTGCAGAACCAATTATTGTTGCATTCGTTGGATTCGAAGCTGAGTGACATGAGTGAGGCTGTGACATGAGTTTATGATAGGAGGTGAGGCGTGAGGTGGGACATTTTTATGACATGGGGTGTTGTGACAAACCAACCAAGCGAGTGGTACAAACGAGTTGCCTCGTGTATGAGTAACTCAACACTAAGCGACAAGCCTATCCATAACATTTGCATCCATAACATTTCATTTGAATGAACATTTGCAGTGCCACTTAGAGCTAAAATTACAAAGATCTGAGACATAAGTTGACAAGTCCCATGTACCTATAATTTCACCAGCACCCTTACCGTTCAACATACGTACAAAAAAAAAGAGCATACAGTCGAATTGAGAACCTCCTCCTTTTTTGAAGTCGATTAAAAAAAGACTTTAATTCATTCATTTATTGTTTTTGACATTACAGTCAGCAAACTTTACAAATTTCTCCAATGCGTTAGTTACAAATGTTTGTTTTTAACGGTTTTTTTTGCCCTAACGCCGCCTGTAATAAATCTATGAAAGCTTATGAACTATCATATTGATTTTATTGAACACCATGATGTTTTTCTACCATTATCATTCATTTATTTTTTGTCAAATTACTCCACTGGTTTACTATAATTGTTAATACAAAGATGGAACACTAAGAAAAATTATTTTCGAACCAGCGTCTATATGCCAACCGCGCTACAGATTGAGTCAGCAGACCTTACGAATTTCTACATGCGTTTGTTACAGATCTTTATTTTTTGTTTACTGGCTTTCTTGCCGTAATATTACTTTATTTAAATGAAGCTAATGAATAATTTATGGTTTTAATTTAAAAAAATACCGCCCATACGGCACTTGTGTGTGTTGATTAATTACTGTCATCAATTTTTACAGTTTTTAGTTAAAAAGTGATTAAACGGAAAAAACACAAGATAATACACACGTTGTTATTTTTGTTTACCTGCGTGTGACGTCACGTGGTTTGTTTGGTGTGTGCATAACAGATTAAAATTTTCAAATTTTATTTGTTTACTAAAAAATACAAGTCTTTATTGTAACGAGAAGAGTTAGGTATGAATGAACCCGATAGATGGATTGGTGAAAGGTGATATGGATAAGAAAGGTGTGAGGATGGAAATTACGGCTGATAGGGGAGAGTGGAAGAAAAATACAATTGTTGTGCCTACCCCACCCAGCGTGAGATAAGAACA